AACTGACCTTTTACATTGCCGCTGATTATACTGTAATGAACCTTAGCGTTATTGCCCTCGTCTCGGTCACTGGCTTCTACCTGGGCCACTTTAGTGTTAACCGCCACATTTTCTGGCACCTGAACTACATATCTTTTCTCACTAAACTGAGGATAGTTGTCGTTTTCATCTTCAACTGTGATGTGCACAGTCGCGGTAGCACTGCGGGGCCCAGGGTCCTTTCCTTGGTCGTTGGCCTCTACTATCAGCTGATACTGGGCCATGGTTTCTCTATCTGGACGCACGCGAATCTTGACCAGTCCGTTCCGAGAATCAATTTCAAACCCAGAATTAACACCCTCGCCATTCACAATCTTATATATCATGTCCGCATTGGATGGTGCATCTCCATCTATCGCCCTGACTGTAATCACCTCAAAACCAACTTCCACATTTTCTCGTATCCTAACCCTGTATTCATTCTGTTCAAAAACAGGCCCGTGGTCGTTGGTGTCACTAACTGTAACGGTCAGGGACGACGTGGCTACGCGTCGCGGTGTGCCATTATCAGTTGCTGTGACTTTAAACACATGTGTGTCTTTAACTTCTCTGTCTAAGGGCTGGACAGTCTCAATGCTGCCGGTTTGAGGGTCTATCCGAAAGAAGTCGTTGGAACGGCTGTCGAGTAATGCTTCCATGCCATACTCGATCTTCCCCGCCTCTCCAGGGTCGCTGTCAGTCGCTTTGAGGGTGATGACTCGCGTACCCGTAGGCTCGTTCTCGGGCACTGAAACCTGGTAGTACGGTAACTGAAACTGAAGCGCTGAATTCACGGCTCGCCTTATTCTCGGTTTCCATTTATTTGATACCTGTTGCATAGAATGTAATAATGATGTTTGGACTGAGGCGAATCGTAATTTAAGGCACATAGAAAAGGTCTCACCGTTTGAATCGTGAAACGAACAGCGAATAGTGTCTTTAAGGCGTCTCAAGTCCGTCTCCAAACAGTACGCGTCCTTCACAAGTAAAGTCCCGTTACGCACAAACACATTCAGACGGTCTGAGGTGCAAGAAGTAGCAAAAACACCAGAGTTTCTAGTGAAGACAGGTAAATAGTCTTTAAAACTAAGGAGTAAATCACCAGGAGAAAAGCAGGAAGTTAGTCCCAAGTTATAAATGCAATCCACGTTAATATCAGGCTTAGTCACTCTCTTCCTTTTATATTTGAACACGCAATTTCGTCCATGTACAAATACATTGAAATGTGCGTTAACTAGTCCTTCAGTTGTCAATGACTGGATTTTAAAATAAAGAGGCAGCGCGCTGTGAGGGGCGCGCGCACAATCCACCTCTCCATTTAAACGCACCACTCCATCTCTCCAGTCCACGTTAATAAACATCCCAATGTACTTGGAAGTAAAAGTCCTGTCTATTTTATACGTCCAACCTGGTCCCAGTGACAAATTGGCCAAAACAGCTCCAGAATGTAAAGTCTCCGTGAGGTGCAAGTCGAAACATCCCACGAGAGGAGCGCAGAGGAGAAGGTGAACCCATAATAACCAGCACATTACTAGATCCATGGTGTAAAACTCCACAAAACATGCAGAAAAACACGTCAACTCTCCTTCTGCCGGCACGTCGACCTTCTTTTATCCTTCATTGTAGCTTTTTAACAGGAGAAAACACAGTTTATCAGGCTGGTATCCATGGAGCCAAGTGACATTACCCACGTTAAGTTTTAAATAAGGACAAAATGGCTCCGTGCGTGCGCGTCTCTCCCACAGCACACACACACACACAAACACACACACAGTCGTTAACATAACCTGCACTGCACCTCCTTTCAGGACTAAAGAACTCTTATGGAAATTCAACTATTGTTATTCACCTCTGCATTTATTCTTTGGTTCTTTTGGCCACTTTTACACCCTAACGTGAGCGACGCGGCGCGTCAAACCAGAAAGTCCCCATTATAAAAAAATGAATTTACGAGATTAAACAGTTTCACGCAACTGTCCGAATACAGATTTCTGGGGGTAAATGCTACCATTATAAATGAACGCCGTTTCGTTTACTATGTTATGCGCGTTGTAGTTTGTTTAGGCTATATCGATAAAGTTTTCTGCTTTTTGTCTCCTAAAGTGACATGAATGCGCACCATGTGTTTAAATCGCTCAGTTTACAAGCGGCTGTAAAGTAATAAAAATATATCAATACTGGGTTCTCTATCTGTTATTCGCTATGAGTAGAGTAAAACTAAATTGTGCATGAAAAAAATATGATTTATTCTCTATACAAAAATTACCATGGTAGACATTATTTTACAGCAAATGCCATAAGACAGTTATTAGTGGTAACATGGCATATAGATACTGAAAATTACAGAAATATTTTTAAAGTTTTTAAGCATTAAAATATAGTTTGGTTTGATTTCTTTTGAGTTTTGATTTTTTTTCTTATACTCGAGTTTGTATTTATTTTTTTAATCGTGTATTTATAATTACATGTGTTATTAAAATTGCATATAAACGTATGCGTTTCTTTTACCTTCAATTTTAGTGTCTCCTCAACAGATAAAAACGTACACTGACTCCCCATGTTCCTCATAAAAGACATACAAATGCAATGGATTTCTTGTAAAAGAAAATCATGCTCTTCTTTAAAAATTTATTTTCTTAATAAGTTTATTTACAAAAAAATATAATACTAATTATATTTACAAAGCATACACCTACACTCTAAACAAATAAAAGTGCTTTATTGGCATCGGCACCACCTTTAACCCACACAGAACTTTTCCATTGTACAAAATGTTCTTTAAAGTGGAAAAAGGTTATTCTGATTATTAAAATATTTTTCACACAACAACAACAACAACAAAAAATGGTTCTTTTAAAGGCTGTTTGCTGAACGGTTCTTTTAGGAACCAAAAATGGTTCTTCTATGACATCGCTTAATAAAAACCTTTTAGAACCTTTATTTTAAAGAGTGTAAAATTTCACTTATACAGTTTGTTGAATTGTGATGCCATGCATATTAGAAAACACAAAAGAGGAATAAGGCCAAACCCAAAAACATATGGTATTATGTATATTAGGCTTACATTTATTTATAAAAATCTTTATATTATCATCACAGGTCGATCATTTATTCTCTAAACCCCATTTTAAAACAACAAAATGTCTTATCATATGCAATTTTTAAACTATATATAGTTTAAATACGTTAATTTAGTGTTATCTGCATTGCATAGAAATTGAGGAAGATGTCCAGAGGCACCAGACATACAGTAAGTGATGTGCTCACGCCCTCTATTGGCAGAGAAAATAACTCAGTAAAGATGCTCAAGAAGAACAATGAACCTGTAGCTTAATATTTCTCTTAAGATTGCTTAGATCAGGATGTGATGCACAATAAAGGCACTTTAACCACATACATTTATAAAACCGAAAGAGCAATACAACAAACAATATGTATTATACAAATAAATTACAATTTCCAAGTTAATTACAATTACAAAAAAAAAAAAAAAACATAGAACATACAACTCACATGTCAATGTCTGTGAATACTAAGAGAGTCCTTACACAGCAAAAGCCTGCTCTTGTTATTCTTGTTAAATTCTTGTCATTGTCCTTAAAGGAACACGCCACTATTTTGAAAATAGGCTAATTTTCCAACTCCCCTAGAGTTAAACAGTTGAGTTTTACCGTTTTCTAATCCATTCAGCTGATCTCCGGGTCTGGCGGTAGCACTTTTAGCTGTAGCTTAGCATAGATCATTGAATCTGATTAGACCGTTAGCATCTCGCTCAAAAATGACCAAAGAGTTTAGATATTTTTCCTATTTAAAACTTGA